TTCTTAGTCTACTGAATTTATAAGTGAATTGATGACCCTATCATTGAAATATTTGACTTTCAATCATTGGATAAATCTCATCCATTCTCTTTCGATTACATGTTCATTTAGTATTAGAAGCCTCCACATGAAAGAAGGAAAGATCAAATTCGAGTAGGTGAAACTACACTTGGCAAATAAGTTGTAATATTGTCTATTATGATTTAACTTATAATCTATATTTCCTTAATTTCATCTTTGAATTTATTGTGACTTTAAGACCGGCTAATTATCACATAATTTACTCACCAATCGAAATACGACTTATTCAAACTTAGTACTGTACCAAGACAATGACGTTCGACCTGTATGAGCAGCCTAGCGTCCTTATTGGTCCTTTGTTCTCCTAGCTCTGTGAACGTGGGAGATTCTAACTAATAAACTCAGCATAATTTAAGAATTGCAAATCATATAATAATAATCTATAGGTCAAAACGAAGCTTATAATAAGAGGAATATAGATATATATAATCTAGTTATTGAATAGTTATACAATAAGAATATATATATATATATATATATATATATATATATATATATATATATATATATATTAGTCCATTAATAGTTTTCAGAAGTTAGCCATAATTTAATCTTCCCTAAGATATAACAGAATTATTCTCTTTTATCATTTAAACAAAATTCTAAGAAAATATTTCCAGTCTAGACAAATAATAAAAAGTATTGTTCGTTCAAAGCACTGTCAGTTTAGGGGGTGTTCTTAAATACTGGTATTTGTAAATGCTTAACACAATCGGTACTGTTTATCAAAAAATAAAACGTAGACAATTGTTTTCCTCGTAATTTTATACACAGCAAGGTCATTAATTAGATCATTTAGCTATTTCTATCAACCAACAAATAATTATATCATTGTTAAACTGATTTGAAAACCTTAAGGCTGAAACGATATTCAGGAAAAATGTGATGCATCAGTGTCTTGTATTTTAAAGAGGTTCGTGATATGGAAGTAGTTAGCTCAAAGATGATCTAGATCAAATTTAAGTTCTTGTGTGATAAGTTGGAAAGAAATACTAATATATAACGTTATTTGTCATGATCCGGCTGTAGCTACGCAAATGTTAACAAAATGAGTATACTCAACGCAAATATTCTTCAATAGGACTTATAGTACACCGTCACTAACTTTAAATTCAGTCGCCAACCATTGGAAAAAACAAAAGGTATTCAAAGGTTTATTCTCTGCTCCAACCGACGCTAGTATATGGGAAAATAAAGGAGCATTAATACATTTCTAGTGTTCTTGAGAATCCCCCAATTAAAATGCGGGTTTTATAAAGCAAGTGGTTTCGAAATCCAAAGTGGTGATAACCAAAAACATCTCTTCATAGTTGATGCAGGTACTGATCTTGCTAAATAACTCATTACTCAACATTGGTAAATGGAGAAAACCAGATAAAATAATCAGATAAATATGTTAATTCAATCATCACTAAATTTCAATAAAAACAGATGTTTAAACTCTGAAAAGCAGCTTTTATACAACCTACACCATTATTAAGAGAAATATATAAAAATCACTAAATTAATGCTATTTTTGGTGGTGATCGTTCTTCGTTTATGAGTTTAACAATTTGGAAACCTTCTAAAACTAAATACTAGCTGAGAGTTACACTCAATGTATGGCAATTGCCAATATGATCTTATTTATTAAATATTGGGATTAGAAACTTGTAACTAATTAGTTAGAATCCCGGTATGTAGATAACCGAGAAATAAATTCGAAATCCAAGAATATGATTTGACAGTCACCTTGGAACACATACAATCAAAGAACAATCTTTACAACTAAGTTTGTTAAGCTGGAAGTAAATTTTAATTTTTATATTCTTTTCCTGTTAATATTTATCTCAAATACTAGAGTGAAAAATGAAGCATACTTGTTGTATATAAAGAAGATAATTTTTAGGCTGATAATTGTATATTTCATCAGATTATAAATTTACTCAAAACGAAATAAATATTCATTAGTTTAAACAAATATTTCACTCACTATTTAAGAAAGAAATTCACCAAGTAAACTTAGTGGACAAATTTATTATAAAAAGATGGAATTAGATTAGATCTCTTCGAACGATGTAAATGAAAAGTGACATTCTTAGGATAGTTCGTTTTCCCTAAAAGATAAACACTATACTCAATAAAAACTATTTATAAATATAACTGCAAAATAACAACCAAATTAAAGACAAAAATACAGATCTCATTTAAAATAGAAAAACAAAGAACTATTTTTTGAAGGTCGCACATTCCGCAGCCACTTTAAATAACATTCGAAAAATTTTTAATACACTATATATATATATATATATATATATATATATATATATATATATATATATATATATATATATATATATATATATATATATATAGCAGTTGATCAATGCTTTTCAGCGTCTTAACTTGAACAGTTACACAAAATCTAAACATTGAAAATATACTATAATCTCCCGTATACCAATGCTGTAATAGAGTATTCAATAGATAAATAAGTGGATTCGGCAAATTTCTAAAGAGTATATTGACATTATTCCAAGATTAAATTTAAGTCTTGCAAATCTTACATAAAAATTTCAAGCTTGGTTTTGGATAGATCAGTGAGAGATATTTAAGATAACGTAATTTCATAGTTATTAGTGGCAACTGAATCTCAAGAATTTTTAGGCTTTTCCTATAAATCGAATTTTAACAAGAATATATGAATACAGTTTTAATCAGCTTTCAAATATTACCCTGATGATGTGTCCTCTACAAACCAATATGATCACTAAAGTTGACTTATTGATGTAAAATGTTTGAGACTACTAATGTTACTAAGTAGCATTATTGTTATTGGCAAAAGTTTTGAAGTCAGGAATTCTAGCATCAACGGATACACAGATTTCCGAATGACTTGGAAAATAATTAGACTGAATACCTGGAGTTATCGGCTTTTATAATTCCCTTCTATTACATATCAGGAAAGTAAATATGTTTCTACGACCTCATTGAAATGAGTGTTTAAAACTAGAAATACGATTAGTTATTATTTATTATAACACATAGATATTGGTACAAGGAGGCAACAAATACATATGCGCCACACAAATCTCACTCGATATGTGTCAGGGCTGTGATACTACCCCGGTGCCCAAACCGAAGCAGGTGGTTTTCTTAGGGGGCTACTCCCCGAGCCTTCGACCTGACCCACAGGGCAGTGGAGCATCGTAAGGAGATGCAGTCCCATGGAAGCCGGTGACCGAAAATTGGTTCGTACGCCATTTGTTCCCGCAGGATACTGGAGCCCATATGCACCATTGGTTTAGGATCCAGATTAAAGCGCCGTACATTCGCTTTTCGTCCTCTCATTTTCGTAAACAATACCCCCGCCACGAGAAGGCAATGAGTAGGACTTCCCTGGCAGAGGCTAGATACGCGTGGTCATGTGAGAGCATTTCGAGAGGGAGAGCGGACTCTCCCCACTCTCGGCCGTACCAGGGCATTTGGGGGCACGATTAATTATAGCATACACAATAATTATTTGATTCACAGATTTAGTTACATACTATTCATATGTTTTTGCAGTTTATTTAATTAATTCTCCATATATTTACAGTTCATGACTAGACTCGTATATTTAATCGCACTTAATAAATAGACACACTCAGAACATTACTTCCACCAACATATTCCCTGGCTTCAGTTCAAGGGTCTAAAAGATGGATACTCTTGATTAAATGTTTAACTTATCGCATATCATTTGTGTTTTAAGAATTATGTAGTGTGCTCATGCACCAAAATCCGAATTACAGCTACCCCAGATCACAATTGTTGTTAGTATCATCCTTGCTATCCATCAAACTGTTATTCTACGGCGATCTCTTAATTATTACTAAAATACTGACCAAAAAGTGAACTTCCAATAAAAGAAATATACCAGGGACGTAGAAATGGTACCCGGTAGTTCCTGATGCCTTGAAATGATGGTCGGGCTTGCATATCATGACCACTCATTAGAAGTATATTGGCTGGAATATTCATTCATTTAGGTTCTATGTGGTATTTGTACTTGATTCCCCGCTTATTAAGAATTCCAAATACAATACGTTCGTTCTGATCTAGTTCCATCTGGCTTGAATTACGCTACTTCTGGGGTTCCTAGTTAGCACTTCAATTCGAATACTTCTAATCAGTATATTCTGTCACATCAGCCAAATTAGTTCGAGGATGATAAGAACAAGAGCTGTGAACTCGTTGTTCGATGACGAGTTACGTTAGCTAAACCAACCCCGTACCATACAATTAGTCAGTCAAACAACAATCTTACTATACTCATTTATGGTGCGATATTGAAAAACAGCAGTGGCAGCTTACGAAATTTAAGCGCGTGAAGGGTAACTAGAAATCGAGACAACAATAAACCCAATAATAACTTTACTGAGTTTTAGTGGATATAGTAGTACTAATATATCCGAAATCATTAAGAAGTATACAAATATTTATGTTTATTAGAACAAGTCGAGGAAACACAACAGATCGTGAAAGACGTTGCAATTTTGGGAATAATACTTTATACAGGCGCATGACACAAAAATGATATACTGAACCAAATTTGAAAACAAACAATAGAAAGGGTTTAAAAGAAAGTGAAGAAACAGTATAAACAAACACATAATAATCAATAGCACTCTGGACTAAACATCAAATACAGAACATCTCCTATAAGAGATTTAGTTCATGTATCATCATACAAGTCACGAGTGCGCATGAAAAGCTGTTGACAACTTTATTGATTAGTGATGCGTTCATTAACAAACTCTATTATTGTGTCGCTATCCCAAGTGTCGATAGGAATCTCTTCTTGCACTTGTCGTTTCTCGTTGAGCATGCGAATTGTAGGTCTATGACCTCTTTCGTATACCACTTTTAGATTAGTCATACTCTTCCGATCCTTGCTGTCAATGAATGCTAAAAAATGAATTTCCAAAAACAAAAGATAGATTTACTGGTGGTTTAGATGTTCGGATGATTTATCCCTACTTAGTTTACAGTTAGATATAGCTAAAAGGAACACTAAATGGTTATAATTGCAAAGATGATTAGATTCCCCTAAACAAGCCAATAAGCATTTAGTTCTACAAAACTGACTTGGTAATCTAAAAAGAACGTCTGCAATAGTAGGTCCAAGTTTTACGGTATCGCTATTTTTTATTGTTTTGAACTTGGTACGCAGAATACAGCGCATCTTACACAATGAAGAGATTCACGACCAAAGTGAGCTGAACACAGATCTGTTCAGGTTAAAATAGTATTTACAAATGGGGAGAAATAATGCGAGATCGACAAATAAAACAGCTTCAGAAACGGAATATAGTAGAAGAACCCTACATCCTACCTAATTATGATTTGGGACAAGCCCTTGGGCTATTTGTGCGATTAAGACACGCTGTATACACGAAACGCTCATATTTTAAGTGTGATAGAATGTCCATACCAAAAAGACATTTCCCAAAGACGTGAAAACCACATAGATATTTATGTTGTTTAGTTTGCCTTTACGAAATGCGATATTAAAGACTTACGGCTACCAGATACCCCAATATTTCTACATAATCAGAACCTTAATACTCTTCTCACTGTATGAAATCTCGTCACCACCATAACCTATTTTTGATGAATTTGAGATATCCGGTTAAAATAGACACAGTACAGTATGGGCTTACTTTTACAATATATATATATATATATATATATATATATATATATATATATATATATATATATATATATATGTGTGTGTGCTAACGATAGTAACTCATAGACAGACTTGTGACTATCGAAAAGTTCGACCAGCTAATAACTATCACATACTCCATGGTGGGAAATTAGCGAAATTTAACATTACTAAATACTAACGGTTCCTATTTCCTATCAACAAAAACTTACCAAGCACTTGAGGATAGCGTTCTAAGGATCACGAGCAAGTTACTAGTTCTGCAAAAGCATATTTCTGTGGAAATAAACTAGGAAATCTACATACCTTAGAAGTTCCAGATACATTTTCATCTTCACAACACTGAAAACAAGATGTTTCAATCTTTTCTAATTTGAACTTCTTCAACTCTGAACATGAGGAGCACTTGAGTAATGAAGTGAACCCTGAAACAGCACAAGATTTTGTGTCGTTAGCAGGAACACCAATCTGTAATTAAATTAAATTTTAGTGCACCCAAAGGCTTAGTGTCCTTACAAATAATGAGAGAAAACAAACTAAGACATCGGCGAGCAACATTACAACATCAGCGGTACCACGTATTCCACTTCAAAGTCACTAAGTAGTGAAGACAAACACATCTGTTGTTTACTTGTTTTAATATGGTCACCCAGTTAGAAGGTCATCAAAGCTTTTATTTTTGCAATTACTCAAGTCTCAACACCATAACGGTCAATATGTCTGGCAAACGCTTTCATAATACATCATGTTCAGGTAAATGCCAAACTAGAGAGAAATTATAAATTAGCGGTTCCCTGATATTTATATTCGGATGTTAAACAAGAGGCCTCGGGCGTAAATAGTTGTACTCTTATTATGAACCACCAGGGACATTGAAGAATGAAACACTAGTTAATAAAGAAACCGGCGACTGAGAAAATCACCAGAAGTAAAATGCTACATGGCTAATAGGTCTGCAAAGATAAATGACTCTTCAAAATGAATAACTTTGTAGATATTTGATATGAAAGTTGGCTCTTACAGTTTCCCATACTCTACTATACGAGAATTTCAGGTCATCTCTCTTGGATATATCGCGAAGCACCACATTTGTGAAGCTTTTAGTCATCTAGACAATCAGTTTATAAATCTAGTATTCACCTGACTCCGCTTCCATTCAATATACTATTCGTCCCGATCATTTTCTTTTTTCCATCTTTTGCCTTTTCATATTTTAGTGAAAGTCACCTCATATCAGTTGTAAATTATGCTACCGTGTCAGTAAATTGGTTTGCTTAAACCGTCAAAAATTCACGAAATGGCGTTCGCTCATCCAGTTGGGTGGGCCCCGTTTGGGTTAGCTTGGCTTATTGTCGCCCGCTGCTTCACACGAAGTGTTTTACTGTGAGGAGATATTTGATAGAGTAAAATCATTGATAGTATTACAATTAACACCGGACCTTATTCAAGTTCCTGCCTAGTCGACTAACAGTTCACAATATGTCTCATGAATCGATATCACTTTCTGTAAGTTGTGGAATTTATCAGTGTAAAATGTTTTGGTTACCGTTACCTTACCTGTAGACTCCTATTGAAGTTTGAGTAACATTGACAAAAACAGATGATGTAAAACGTATAATTCTATGGTTTTTTACATTATTGGGGCTTGCATAAAATACCTTGAGATTCTCGTAAATTTATCCCCGTTAGTCACAGATATAGATAAGCATGTTGGTCGTTGATTGGCCTTATAGCTCTGGGATCCTATGAGCTGCTGGGTTTCCCATGTATCTATCAAGATTCTTAAACGCCTAAAATATTTGTCTTAACCTTTTTTACGGATGAATTTTTCCAAACTTCCGGTCATTCCGTCTGTAAATATATGACATAGATCATGTGTGTATTATAGTTTGCATATGCCTACACACCTACTTGTATCTTCCATGACCATAAACTTCGAATCACATCTTAATTAAATATAACAGGCCTATCTTACTTCTCCGATCCACATCTCTCGTCGTCTGTTTGCTTTAATACATATCCGAAATATGTGTATCCAGAAGCACTCTCGTATTAGACTTTCGACATACTGTTGCTTGAAACGTGTTAAGTAGGTAGAACACACGTGTGGTGAGGTGGGGCATAAATTTTGCTTACTTTAATATCGTTCGACCATCAATGTTCGGGATGCGATTCTCTCCCTCGAAATGCAAAATGTTGCTTCAGGATTGGGTTACATCGACACCCGAACTAGTGATAGAGAGTGAAGTAGTTGAGTGTGTCGACCGCTTCACTTATCTTGGAAGTCTCATCAGCCCTTGTGGTTTAGTGTGTGACGAAATCTCAGCACGGATACAGAAGGCTCGACTAGCTTTTGCCAACTTGCGTCATTTATGGCGTAGGCGAGATATCCGTCTATCAACCAAAGGACGGGTTTACTGCGCAGCAGTTCGTCCCGTCCTACTTTATGGCAGTGAAACATGGCCGGTAAGAGTAGAGGATATTCGTAGGTTACTAGTATTCGATCATAGGTGTCTTCGAAACATTGCTCGTATATCATGGGGCCATCGAGTAAGTAACACAGTTGTTAGGAAACGGGTACTAGGTAAGGATGGCAAATCAATTGATAAAGTAGTGAAACTTCATCAGTTGAGATGGCTAGGACACGTGTTACGTATGCCCAACGACCAACTGCCTCGACGTGCGATGTTCAGTGGTATAGGAGTAGGTTGGAAAAAAGCTAGGGGCGGCCAAACCAAAACATGGCACAAGTCCATGAAGTCACTGACAAGTGGACTGAGTCATGTTGGTAGGTGTAGACTACCTGGTTGGGGACCGCGAGATGATAGCAACCGATAGTTAGAGACCCTGAATGATATGGCTCAAAATCGTTTGCAATGGCGCAGGTGCATCCACTCTCTGTGTTCTCCCAAATTCTAATCTTCTGAATTCTTCATGTCCCTTTTTTCCTCTTTCCAAATTTATTTCACTGGATTATACTCTTTAAATAACATCTCCAAACCCTAATCTTCCCGATTACTGCTTATACTCATATTACCTCTACCACTACGGGATTTGAATCGACAACTGCATCTCTGTGCTAATGTGGTGTGGCAACTCGAACTGATGTACGTACGTACGAAGTTCTACGTTGTTACTGACTGACTGACTGACAATGTTCCAACCAGTTCTCCGAACTAGCATTACCTGTGCAAGACCTTTGAGGTTATGAAACAAACAGCTTACAAACTGTGGTCCCGTAATTCTTTATATATTCTTAAGAGCCCCATTTTGGCTGAAAACTTAGCGTTTTTGTGTGTTAGTTTTAACAGGGTGGTATTCGAAGTAGTTAGGGCAACTCTTTAGGAGATGGAATGCCCAGAATCGTATTATCAACCTTTGTCTATGGTGTTCTAAGTGTGGATAATAAAGCAGACGACATATTGAATGGTTGTTAAGGAATCATTAATATTCCCAAACACGTTTTTATCCATCCACTACCACTTTTAAGAATTTATGACGAAATTTTTATTTACGTTTTTGGCTGGTTCAGATTTACGTTTTGAGGACAGAAGACTGACGGCCTGTGCTAGTCATCTTTTCCAACGAGCTTATTTGAGTCTCTGACCTCTAATGAGTCAATTACTTATTATTATTAATATTATATCTTGGTACAACATAGAATTTTCAGCACAGGTTATTTCAACAAGATTCTTTTGCAAAAAATACAAAGACAAAAAGAGGAAAAAAGGCTAAAAAATCTGAAAAAACTGTACAACTTTCCAAACTAGAGACATGTTAAGAATGCAGGTTATTGACTAGGTTAAATCTAACAACCTGTTCGTCACAGAGTACATTTGATGGGTAAGGTATTATAGAATTTTTATACTTTTCCTTACGTGCATGGATTTTAATGTAATTTCGTCTCGTTCTACCAGCAGATGTACAAGGAGAAAGATATAAGTGAAGGGGGTGGTTAGTATCTGATAAGATAACACCTGCCAGGAGTTTGCATGACTTCAGATGTCTATCCACAACCATATTAGTTATGACCTCTAAAGATTCACCATACACCTTGTTAACTGCCTTCAGCACTCTCCGCAATATAGCAAAGTCTTTTCTCAAAAGTCCAGCAACGAATAATGGAGAACAGTAAAGAATAATAGGTAATATGCAAGAATTGGCAAATTGTAAGAGTAAATCACGAGTAACCCCAAAAGAATGGAATCTCTTTATGTAGCAAGTCAGACGCAAAACTTTCTTCGATAACAATAAAACATGAGAAGACCAAGAGAGATCAGAGGAAAAGGTGACACCAAGATAATTGACCTTCGACACTGTGTTTATCAAAGATTCTCTAATGTCACAAGCATTATGGGATCCCAAAGTGGAATTTAGATGACGTTTATGTTTCATGCTAAAGTTCAATCAATCTGTTGTACAGAAAAATTCCCACACTATAAATTAGGACAATAGATATTTACAATTAGTTATATCCATAGTAGAATGACACAAATGCGAATCACCGAAATTTATCAAACCACAGCTGGGCAGCGGGATAAAATTATCAAGACGAGGAGAAAAGTTGAAATAATAGCAGTATCAATGATAGCAAGAGAGTCAGGGGATTGAGATGATGGTTCGAAATGAAGGAACATCGGAATTCAAGACCTAAAGGAAGATAACGAATAAATACATCTGACACTACAACTGATTCTGACCATTGTTACTCAACATCTACAATCACTCATTGCGATTTCCAAGTGGGATCTATCAACGTAGTTTTCACCTATGAACACACTTCTAAAAAATGATGTTCGGGACACCATCAGGTCCTAAACATCGGGATGAACTAAGTGACTGGAGACATCTTCGGACATCAGTTTCAATGAAACTAGGAAAATAGCTATTCTTCAAACCTGTGGATATAGGGAGCATTACATCAGATGACTGAAGTGCAAAAGACTTATTTAAATCACAAACATTCAGCTGGTTATCGCTCCTAATCTGTCTATCGCCTGTAAGTTCTTTAAAGAGTTTATACATACTTGGAGAGTTTTTACAAGACAAGAGTTTCTGAGTAAACATGCAGTTGAGACGTCTAATCTCTGAGTTTATCAGATCATTTAGCTTACAAACGTTACTACAGTTTTTCTCCTTGTACATTCTTTCACCCTCCGTAGTCGTGTTAGTTGTCAAGATATAAGTCGACCAAGATTTACAGAAATGGTTTCAGTGGGATAACAAATATCAAAACAGAATTTAAGGTAACAAGTGATAACATCAGAAGTGATTTCTAGTGAGTCATCTGTAAATAATTCCCAGTTAGTCGTATGAAACATGTTTTTCAGATTTCGGATATTTTCTTCTGAGTAATTCCTATATTTGACTTTCTTGGTTTGATTTAAGAGTGTGCTCTTCCTATGCTTTCCATATACATTAGGTAGAACACGAATTATACAGTGATCCCAGCTAGGCAACGGAGCACCTTTACGAGTCACATTTATACCCACATCACTAATGAAACCGAAGTCTAAATGAGCATCCAAACGGGTAAGAAAATCTACTACATTTTGATG